GTGTATTCGGTAGTTTTTAGGTTAGGAATCTGCCCCCGAACGTTGGCCCATGTTTTCTGAAACACCCTCATGGTTTATTCTAAGTATACGAAACTGACATTTTTCGCTCAAATCGAAAATACGAAGTTAATGGTTGTGCTTAATTGTAAAAAAATCATTGTTAATAAGTTAAAATGATTTTGATAAAATTTGAACATATTTGAAAATAAGCCCTAAATGAAACCTTTTTCGAAAAAATAAACAAAATACGTCGGAAATTGGGCGATTTTTGGGTCCGTTTCACCCTAAATATAGATTTTATATGATACTGGCCGGTCACGCATAAATTCTGACTACGGTATCATTTTCAACTCATCAAAATTCATTAGAAATCTTCATCAGATCTTTGGATTTGGACTTTTCATGTTTTATCGATTACATACCTACCATCATATTGGCATCAGAATGAATAGCACTACCGCAGTCTGCATCTTCCTACTCGAGTTTTTTTTTGTGTGCCGATGTTATTTTAAAGTAGCTGTTTAACAGCAAGGTCAAAATATCCAGTTACTATAACAACAAAAATAGCATAGCTATAATCATTATATTATAAAATACAACACAAAGTTAGAAATTTGATTACAATAATTTTTAAGAAAATATATAAGTATATAACAAGATTCAAATCTTATCATATAGTAATGTATCATTCTCGAGGTACTTAACAGAGTTTAAGCTGACTCAACGATATCGTTACAAAGTAACGGTATTTTGTAACAGTATTTTTCTGGAGCGATATTACTTGTAACTTTACAAGTGTGTAACCGTTTTGTCTATCATTAATATAAGTACGTAATTAAATAGTTATTTAACAGTGATATAGGTATAAAATATTTTTTAAATAAATTAAATAATCTCCAATTTTAAGTAATAAGTAGTAATTTAAATAATAATAAGTATGGCCGATTCATGTGAGTTACAAATTTTTATGTTTTATAATAGGAGAACTACGTTGTCAATGTTTTTTGACTACTTTTAAGAAGAAAAATAACAAAACTCCTTTCCATCATTCACGTTTTTTTTCGGATAATTGAGACTAGCCATCATTTTTTTTTTTCAAATGAATATCCCCGAAATAAGTATGTATTACCTTAACCTAAATCTGGCTGAATAAACATTTTTTGCACTTGCAAATTAACCTGGTTAGACTAGCACAACATACATACATATTTCAACGAAGTCGAAAGATATGAGATGCTGTTTTCATGTTCGTTTAAAAGTTTTAAATCTCTGACATGTCACATGTTGCAGGAAATGTATTAACCTGAATTTATGCGAAACGGAAAAATATCGTATAATATATGTGCTCGTGGACCCACCTTCAATGAGTTCTAGATAGCTGCCCTATTTGTAACGTCCCTGTTAGGAAACATTAACAGTACTCTATTGTTGTGAATATTTTTCGATCTGCATATTGAGGTTCATTTACAAGAATGACTGTGAGATATCGTCAAACATTTTTCAAAGACTGCATTAGATGGATATGCCTGGCAACTTGAGTGATAATATAAATCATGGTTTTCACGGTCTTTCAAACAATATTCAATTGTATTTCAATTAAGTCAGTTTTTTTAGTTTATTTGTAGGTCTTCTCCAACAGGTTATTTGTACACTTCACCTGCCTACGATTTCATTTCTGTTACCCACAAGCGAATACATGAATTAATGTTGTGACTCATCGTAATTAATTAACGTGGCGTATTATTCATAACAGTTTTTTGCAATTTTAATACTGATGCATGTTAATTTCCGTATTCAAAATGCCTACTCGGCCGGGATATATATACATGCTTGAGCAGATTAACTTTCCACTAAAAATCCGTCTTACATTTCAAATTACAAGGTGTGATCTTTAATATATGATTACTCTTATTGTCCCGGAAACAAAACTGACTACTAAACATGTACCTACCTTTTTTTTTATTTTCTTTATTCCAAAAACTCACTATTAATGGAATTACATTACATCAGTCCTTTTATAATATGGTATCATAACTTATTTTAATTAATCTATTTTTAGAATATATACAGGGTAAGTTATAATTAGGTCTAACTGAAACTTCTCGCTAAAACCAATTTTATAAAAAAACCTTTGTACCAAAATGCTTCCTTACAAAGTTTCAGGGTGTTCAAGTTCGTTAAAAAATAGCATTTTCTTAATATTTCCAATACGTCTTAACAGATTGTTTTAAAATTTGACGCAGTAAATATCACTGTCAAATGCTACTCTCGTATGAGAAACCAGCAGAATACTAAAAACCAGTGACGTGTAACCGCCACTATGGTGAACTTTGGTGGAAAAAATGTTGTACCATTGACTAATATCGCAAATAATCTGTTTATTACTTACAATCATTATTGAGATGTAATTATTTTTATTTAAATGTGTTTCTAAAATCCAGATGGAAAAATCCATGCTTTGATAACCAAACAAAAGCATAAGTGCAAGCTATATCTAAAAAACAGATTATTTCCAGTCGCAATTTTTTTAATGTTCACCATCGTGCTGACTGCGCGTTGCTAACCTTTAGTACTCTGTTGGTTTCTCACAGGTGAGTAACAATTGACAGTGACATTTATTACATTAAATTTGTTAAGACGTTCTGGAAATATTAAGAAAATTCAACTTTTTAATCAACACCCTATATATTTGTAAGGAGGCATCTTGGAACAAAGGAATACTTGACTAATTATTTTGTTTTAGCGAGAAGTTTCACCGGTTAAATCAAAATTCTGAATCCTGAAAGGAATTAAAAGCTCTTATTGATTAGAAAATTGATCATAACTTTTTTAAATGCAGTATTTTAATTTTTTATACATAACATTTTTATGATAAAGATTATTAAAACAAAAATTTAAAAAAGTCGTCTTCTTTCAGATCGTTACGTTTTTCTTTTTTTTTGTAAATTTATATTTTTCTAAAGTCATGTGTCGCATATAGTGGATAAATCCGAAATAAAAATTACACCAAATAGTTTTCTCCATATTTTAAAATCATTTTGTATCATACAGGGTGTCCAATTTCTTCTGGACATTGTATAACTCAATTTTTTCTAACTAAACACCCAGTGTATTATTTCATTATTATTTGATGACTTTTCAACGCGAGAGTTCCAACAAAAGAAAATTAAGTACAGTGAATATTTATTAGAAACAGGTCCCAGCACACCTTAATAAAATCGAGTTGAAATTAAATTTTACATCTCCAAATGTCATGTTTCATTATTTGCATAAAATCAAAATATATGTTATTGAAAAGCTTGTCATTCTGAGGTCTGTAATTCTAACTACATATTTTTCTATATGAAATGTATCAGATAAGCATTGCAGTAAATAGTTTTATTGATTCTTGAATAAATCATAAAAACCATATCCTGTTGTCATGTTTAAATTCGGAAATATATTTTATATTTCCGGAAATTAAAAATTAAATAAAAACATTTTAATAGTAACTTTCAGATACAATATCAATATAAAAATCGGATTTAAATTCAACAAGAAATTAAATAATTCAATAATACAGGGTGTTTCATTTGAAAAAAATAAAGTTAGACAAGATTTAGAAGAAATGAAACACCCTGTATGACGTTAAATAATTTAAAAATGTAAAGAAATTAAGTTGGTCAAAATTTTATTCGAAACACTTTTTTGTATTATTGGGATTTCCAGAATAATGGAAGGAATCCGTCTTAAATGGAACATCTTGTATGCATTGAGCAATTATGATAGTTTCATTTTGATCGAATTTATACCTGACCTCTCCATAAATGTTGTTGTTCATGTATTGTAAATAATCCAAGATAATATAGTTAATGCAGGAACATTATAGTACGTCGCCTATCATCAGTTTTAATTATAAGGATAATGCTACTACAAGATAATAGCTATTTTCCATTACTACAAATAGAGAGAGTGGAGACACCTGGAAAACATTCTGTAAAGTCGGTAAGGGAGCGAAAATAAAAATAAAACTAATTTTTTATACATAGTAAGATTTAAATTGTTTATTCGAATTTGCTCATTGTCTGAGGAAGGAAAGAAGCAAATTTAAAATTTCACCCACTCAGTTCAGGATTATTGTTCAAAAAATTTACTGGCTTCAGACAAAATCCAAATAGGCATCATTTTGTAGAAATAATATTAAATTCAGTATTCTTATCTCTATGAGGGTATTTATCATTTATAGGTAATTTAGGCATAGAGTACTAATATTTGTACTGATTGCAATATTGTCTCTAAACAATACTGGTTAATAATTTTGTTGTGTGCATACTTCTTATAAGTAAGAACATAATTGATTAATTGATCAAATATAGGTAAGTAGGTATTATCAGTTGTACCAGGCTTAGTTTTAAAAACAAGTTCCTAATCCCAACAACTTTTCTCAAAACGTACACCTTAAAATATATAAAAAGTAGAAAAAATTTGAAAATAAACTTGGTTATTTATGTACCTGCTAGTCACAAATAAATTAAATTAAATATTTTGTACATCCATAATTTTTGAAATTTAATATTATATAAACAGGTGTTTTACACTTTCAAAAAGTTCTATATTGCAATTTTATTATCATAGATTTAGTAAGGAAACACTTCGTAAAGAGAAAATTATTAAAAAAAAGCTATTCCTTATTAACTATGTATTAAAAGTGTTCTATAAATATATTTGACATGTATATCATTACCTACATATTTTTACTTTTGATTTCATTTATCAATTTATCTCACATCTTTCCCTTCTATGATTTTTCAGTAACGCTATTATCTAATTTATCTTGAAACATATTGGAAAGCATTCCCAAAAATCAATTTATAAGAATATTGTACTAGGTGCTATTTAAAATATTACCTATAAATGAGGTCTAACAGTGACCAAGGAATTGTGGAATGTCGGAATAAACAGAACATGTATAAAGTAACACTTTTTATTAAATAGTATAAAATTTTTATATGCTCAATAAGACTAAATAAGGCACTATACAATGGCATAATTATAACGTTATAGAAGTTACAACACTTCATTTGACTAGAAAATAATAGTGAATTCACTTTCAGACAAAAACACTATTTTAGCTGAATTGTAATTCTAAAACACCGTTTTTATCCATTACATCATTCACTAATTTGATAAAGTATTTACAAAAATATATTAAATTTTCTTAAAAGCTAAGTACATTTATATACAAATTGTGGTAGGATTCATTTGTACATAATTTTCAGTTTTATTCAGTCTTTTCAAAAGGCACTATTTATCAAAATATTATTAATAAATACTGTTACAAAAAAGGAACCGAAATGTAAGCGGAATGTTCTAACGATAGATCAAAGGGTATACGAGAAAATAATAAATAAATAATAGTAACAAAACTTAACTACGAAGAACTAGTACATTTTTTCTGGGTGCATTAACGTAGAACCCCCTGTACATCCGCCCTCGGTATGTTTCGTGAGCAGAGACATTCTCGAAAACGTTTTGCTGCAGCTAGTGCAAGAATATTTTTTCACGTCAGAGTGTGTCTGAAGGTGGGCCCTAAGATTTGACCTATCAGCGAACGCTCTGTTACAGTAAGTACAAGAAAATGGCTTTTCACCTGTGTGGGTGCGGATGTGACCCTGCAGCAGCCATGGCCTTGAAAACGCTTTTCCGCAGATGGTGCATTTGCAGGGCAATGTATGGGTTCTGATGTGCATCTTCAGGGCGCCGAGCGAAACGTACACTTTCTCACAATATTTACAACTGAAAGATTTTTTTGGACCTTCACCGGCAGCACAGTGAAACTGGCGATGTTTCGATAAACCGGAAAATGTTGAGTAACTTTTTCCGCAGTCAGGGCATTGGTGTCTGATCCCTTGTCTTCGCTTTTCCGACAAATCTTCAGCTGATGAAACCGTTTGCGGTGGTGGAGAAGTAGTTGAACTGTTTGGGCTCAGGGAATTCTGGTCTATGGAGGAATACACTGTTGGTCTCAATGCCAGAGGTTGGAGAGGTTGTTGCACATGGTGTGGTGGCGATAAGGAACTATCTCTGTACGGTGATGTAGGACCCATGTACACGTTTTCGTGATGGTATGGATAAGGCATGTAATGGTAAGCTGGATGATACATTGGAGCAACACTTCGATGCCATGTTTGAGGAGCATATTCTGGACTTATTGGGATAGGATACTCTATGCGAGGTTCCACTTTAATAGGTGGTTGGTATAAGAAGTGCGTCGGTGATGGCGAAGACATAGGTGGAGAAGACGGTGGTGAATTGGACATTGAAGACTGAGGTGAAGCTGGAGACAGTGCAGGTGATGACGAAGGCGATACAGATGCCAAACGACCATTCCTGCTCAGATCCTCAGGTTTCGTTGACAGATTTTCTGGTTCGTCTGCAAAGAAAATAAAAATATTAGTCACGAAAACAAGTTTTGTTTAAAACGTTTTTAAATGTTATGTTGGAATCAGTATTTGGATTTTATAATAATTCATATTTTTTAGATTGGTACACACCTGGTATATCATCGAACACGATGGGCCTCTTTTTGAGTGGGCAATGTGCATAGTTCTTAGCCATGATTGTAACAGGCATATTCACAGGCACTCACACAAAACTTAATCCAAAAATTGTAACACTAAATCGAAAAACACAAAGTCCAATACAGTAACTAAAACTAACGTAACGTATAACGTTGTAACTCTATACTAAGCCACGATAAGCTCTCTTAGTCAGCTGAACCGATTCTGAATCAGGAAACAGGGAATACCTAGTTATTAACCGTCTCCCCACCACTTTCCGTGCACGTGCCGGTGCACCAATGATCTGCCAGAAGCGGGCTGGCACCCAATCGAGGAGCTTTCCTCAGATGGAGGGAGTTAAGCAGGTGTGCTTCTGAATAGGATATGGTAAAAAGACTATATTGTTATACTGTTAGGTGGCTTAAGTTTGTCGGTGGATAGATTAAATGACAGGCCGATTTTTTATGTGTTCATTTTCGTATTGCGCGCTACGCTAAACCAGATTTAGCAAGACGTTGCGTAATTGCCATTGCGGTGCTGTTACAGCTTTTGTTCGTTGCATGAAGGAGACTTTAATGACTACATAGAACAATAACTTGTACTTCAGCAGAGATTATTGTGTATTAAATCAATCATATGGATATAATACTTCCTCAGAGAAAAATCATTTTTATTGATGCTGTATATTTCTAGAAGCATTTATTGTCGGCACATAATAATATAGAACTAAGGCCAAATTTGCTTTTAAATTTTTATTCGCAATAGATGTATAAAATACCTACCTATTGTAGTTATTTAATTATTTTATTCAATAGCAAATAAAAATATCTTGTTAATGCAAATTAAATAGCTATATTGACACAATTTATCAGTATCTTAGTACAGAACTTTATACCAAACTTGGAAATACTTAGGTAAGTATGTAACTCAATGTTGGTATTTAAACATTTTTTATATACAAAAATAATTTAATGTTCCATAACAGATGGCTTCGTCAGATCTCAAATGCATTAGTTACTTTTTGTCTTAACAATAAATTAATAGATAATAAATTATACATTGAAGTATCTGTACCATACCTAAAAAGCTGATGGTATCTGCGACATACTCTACCTGCACCTAATTAAATATTTATAATTTTACAAATTCATTAACTAGAATTTACTGAATTGTAGAAAGTAAATAAAATCCTTCTTTACAAAATAAATAAACAAATTGTATCTACAGAAATTAAGTTTTTAATAAATTCTACGTATCTATTTTTATATATAAAAAAAACATCTAAATATAACGACGTCATCTATTAAAATACTATCGTCAAGTAAAAGTTAGTGTTACTCAATGTTACTATTAACTGTATTTATCTGTAAGTACCCACTAACTAGCTGCAAGTAGTATTTGGTTACATTTTACAGATTATTATGTGTCTGGGGCGCATATCTGCACATGTTTAAATGCATGGTGGTGCGGTATGGTCTGGCCAGGTGAGGCGAGGGGATGTATTTTACCACCCCATCTGGAGGGTGCCCTTCTGCTCTTGTATTCCGGAACGCCGTAACGGTCTTTTCCAATATACAGCTGTCTTTTGTTGCGCGTGCCATTGCACTCACTGCAGGCTAGATCCACAATCTTAGAAATTTTGCGTGCACCTTTAAATATCCATAAGACACAAAATAGGTAATTATTGTTTTGGAATATGTATTTTCCAATATTATGCTTAGGTGCAACGAAATGTTTTAATTTAATTTTGTAGTATGGTGAACTACTAATTAATTAAGCAGAAAAAATTTGTATTTTGCAGAATATCGTTAAAAAATATAAAAAAAGATCATCTTGTACCAAGTTGATTGCACTTACTATTATTTTAAAATGTCACAATTTTTATAAATAAATTAATTAAAGATAATTAATAGATTGAATTGAATTTAAAATTATGTCTCTTTTCTAATGCAAAATTTTGTTTCTCAGAAACGGTTAACAAGTACATTTTTTAATGATTTTTAATAAAAATCTGTTTAATTTCTGAAAAAAAACGCTAAAAGTTTTTTTATATCTAAACTAAATTATTTCTGACTAGAGTTAGATACCAAAGTTCTGTATTTTCATTATTTCATTGAAAAATCTATACTTAATTATAGTTTCTTTTTGTTAATCTTAAATTAAAAATCAAAGGACTTTTTTATATTAGAGTCGCTCGAAACAGTTTTAACTATTTTTCTCGTAAAATCAAATCTACTCTCAGGATCTGTAATTCCATTAATATCGAGTTTTTACAGAATTGTCATAGGAACTTGTACCATTATTTTAATGAATAGAATCAAATTTTTTGCTCACAGTTTCCGGAAACCCTACATGAAATTATATTACATCTTTAAATATAAAGCATCTTAACTCTTTTATTTATAAAAACATTGAGTGCAAAAGAGTAGCTATCAACTAAATGTTTATATAGGGTGACTCGAGAGGAAGCTCCAAACTCTAGGAATGTATTCTACAGGTATAAAAATAAATTGAAAAAACTCAAATCCCCGATTTTTGTTTGCTTTCAAGTTAAAAATGTTAAACGTCACACAAAATTAATAAATACATAATTAAATCGACATCGGGTATACGATATTTATTTTAGTGATTTATTAATTTAAGACTTACAGTAAATTTGAAGACAAACGAAAATAGCATCGTTGCACATGAATACTACAATAGAACACTGTCTGTGTGAAGTTTTATTATGACGTTTAACATTTGAATTTTTAAAATTATTTTTACGTGTAGAAAACACTAATAGAGTTTGGAGCGTTCCTCCGACTTACCCTGTATAATTTTATACAGAGTATACCAGAAGGCGCGACAAATCAAACCTATATTTTTTTAAATTTAACGTCTTTTGTATACTATTAAATATAAAGCCTTTTCAGGATTGAAATGATAGAAAGTCTAATGGGGCTACCTCTATTGATAAGGAAGGTATGACCATTAGAATATGGCATAAGAGTATGTAATATATTGGAATAAGACTAAGTTACATTCATGGTATGTTCTAATATCTATATTTTTCTTGATTTCAATTATTGCAATCCTGTAAAAAGATTCTATTAAAATATGGTACAATATATATACATTATAATTTAAAAAATCACGAATTTTGTTTGTCACGTCTTTTGAGAACTCCCTATATTAAGGTCTATGATGTGTATGTACTACTAAAAGAACTTTTGTTGTATTAAGCCTCTCAAAATCAAAATAACCTCAAATATAAGTTTTTTTGTTATCATTCTTGCCTGTTGTTGATGGTTTTAATAAATGTCTCTATTTGAAATACCATATAAATAAACAAACGTAAAATTAAAATAAACTAACACGAACAGCATGTGACCTTCTTTAAGCCTCTCAAAATCAAAATAACCTCAAATATAAGTTTTTTTTGTTATCATTCTTGCCTGTTGTTGATGGTTTTAATAAATGTCTTTATTTGAAATGTCATGGGTATAAATAAACAAACGTAAAATTAAAATAAACTAACACGAGCAGCATGTGTCCTTTGTCTCTTTTTAAAGTACCTTCTAAGTATTACCTTATTTTATGTGATACCTACCTATATATGTTTTGTATAATTTGTATATGAAGATAGTAATTTTAATAGTGGTTTAAACAACTTCAGAAAAAATATTTATTTATAGTTTACAAATAGGGTGTTATTTTAAGCAATGAAATATTAATTATTAATTTACACATCGATCTGGTTTTATGAAATATATTTAAAAAAGCTCAGTTTCTAATACAGTAACAATACTTCTTTACCAAAATTGATTATCCACCATTTGTTACATAACATAATACTTATAAATATACTACATACCTACGTATACCAGTAGTACCTACATAATTGGGTATATAATTCTTCGCTTCTATGACACGAGATCTATTATTATCACTAGATGCTAAATTTTATAATATTCCGAGCACCCACTATAAATCATTCATTCATTTTTTCTTTTCATGGTCGGAATAATCAATAATGCTGTTAATTTATAATAATTATCGGGAGCAAAAAATATATTTGTTCACAGTGATATACAGAGATAATAATTCAGCGACATGTAAGGTTTATTGTTTATTATTATTATTTTGCATAAGCATCTATTCGAGGAAGTTCAGTCCCATTAAACCGCCTCGTTATTCATAAACAATGATCGTCTACTTATATGAGTCATTTAATTAAAACAAATCGACACCTTATTCTTATTTGCGTAATAGAAAACTTTTAACAGATGTGCTAGTTCCACAGAACATCTGCTCCGTAAAATCATATGTAAACTATGCTATACGACCTAATTAATACACTTTCAATATTAGTACGGGAAATCTACGATTAAGTATTACAAGAACCGAGAAATCGACAATTTCATTATTTTCGTTTTAGTGATAGTACTTAATCTTGTCCACAAAGGTTTCTAAAATACTCACGCTTGTTTTGTCCAAATGGAATCACCAATAAAAAAAATCTTTTGATTGCCACCTAATGGTACATTGTCTACACATGGTACAGTGCATATTGCTTGTATCATAATCAGATTTCAGTATTGGTGTTAAAGTCACTGAAAGATATTTTGTAAAGCATTTGGATAATTTCAGAAAACTTAATAGTAATAATATTAAACCACTAAAAATAGTTCTACATTCCAGTGATCCTAAATTAAACCTAACTTGTAAAGCTTTTTCATCAATACTCCAAGTTTATGTCTTGGCAAATATACGTTGATTTTCTTCTATAGTTTCTACATCATTATTGTATATATATAATATATAATCATATTCAAGTGAAAATACAGAATTTTCAGTGTTTCAGTGTTATAGAAAGGTTTAATGATACAGATTATAAAACTTGTCCGATTTTCCCACAGAATTGAATTGATTAATAAATTTGAATCGAAAACAATAAGAATAATAATACTTTAGTGGAAGTAACCCGATGAAAGGTAATGTTAGTAAGATTGTAATTATATCAGACTAAATCCAATTTTTAACTATAAAACATTACTTTACGTTTTGAATCATTTAACGACAATTTAATGTTAATACACGACTTAAGATAAAAATTTGTTGCCGGAAAGAGATGCAATCCTTGGTTGATGTCATGTCATCGGCAAATAAAAGTTGTTCACATGATATTGCATAGGTCATTGATAAAAAGTAGACGAA